GCCCCTGCCCTCGGCCCAAACCACCTCCCCTGATCCCAATCCCAACCCGGCCCAGTCTCCCTCCCAGCCCAGCCCGCCACCTATAACCCAAAATAACCCTCCCCTACCCAGGCCCGATCAGCCCAATACCCACCCCATGGTAACCCGGTCCAAAGTCGGCATATCCAAACCCAAACACATCCTCAACCTTAACTCCATGGCCCAAATTTCTCCCCTTCCACCCACCTATCGTAGTGCACTTAAGGATCAAAACTGGTACAATGCTATGTGTGATGAATTTAATGCTTTGATTAAAAATGAAACATGGGAACTAGTGCCTCCCTCCCCCACTCGAAACATTATCACTGGTAAGTGGCTCTTTCGCCACAAATTTGGCCCTACAGGTGAACTGTCTAGGTACAAAGCTCGATGGGTGGTTCGTGGATTTAATCAGCGCTTTGGAATCGACTACGACAAGACTTTCAGCCCGGTTGTCAAACCGGCTACGGTACGTATTGTTCTCACTCTAGCACTCAGCAGGGGGTGGCCCATCCATCAGCTCGATGTCAAGAATGCTTTCCTGAATGGCACACTCCACGATACTATCTATGCCTGCCAACCCTCTGGTTTCCAGGATCCAGCTCAGCCGAATTATGTTTGCAGGTTAAAGAAGGCCCTATATGGCCTCAAACAAGCCCCACGCTCCTGGTACCAGCGATTTGCAGGCTTCCTTCTCACTTTGGGATTCCGAGGATGCAAGAGCGACACATCTCTTTTCATCTACTCCCGGGGACCTGACATGGCCTATCTTCTCCTTTATGTGGACGACATTGTGCTCACGGCTTCCTCCACCACTCTCCTCACATGCCTCACTCAGAAACTTAAGGGGGAGTTCGCCATGACAGATATGGGGGATCTAAATTTTTTCCTTGGCATTGGGGTTCAGCGCACGGCCGGGGTCTCTTCCTACATCAGACACAGTTTGCACACGAGATCCTTGAGCGGGCTGACATGCTTCACTGTAAGCCTATCTCCACCCCGGTCGACACCAAGGCAAAGCTTTCTGCCACGTCCGGCACACCACTCCCAGATCCCACTATCTACAGATCTATTGTTGGGGACCTACAGTACCTGACTTTTACACGGCCTGATCTCACGTATGCTGTACAGCAGCTTTGCCTTCATCTTCATGCACCACGCAGCTCCCATCTCACGGCTATGAAGAGAGTTCTGCGCTACATCCATGGCACAGCTACCCATGGCATCACTCTTCACCGCACCGGCACAGACTCCTTACAGGCCTATTTGGATGCAGATTGGGCAGGCTGCCCTGACACCCGTCGCTCCACTTCCGGGTATTGTGTTTTCCTTGGAGACAACCTCATTTCTTGGTCCTCCAAGAGACAGGCCACCACATCTCGCTCTAGTGCTGAGGCAGAGTACCGCGCCGTAGCAAATGCGGTAGCAGAGGCTAGTTGGGTCCGAAATCTTCTCCTTGAGCTTCATCAACCTCTCCGGCGAGCCACTTTGGTGTTCTGTGACAATGTCAGTGTTGTTTACCTCTCGTCTAATCCTGTTCAGCACCAGCGGACAAAGCATGTTGAGGTTGACATTCACTTTGTTAGAGACAAAGTTGCCCTTGGTCATGTTCGGGTCCTACATGTTCCCTCCTCCTCTCAGTATGCAGATATCTTCACCAAAGGGCTCCCATCTCTCCTATTCTCTGACTTTAGACACAGTCTTGGCATTCGACCATCTCCGGTCACGTAGTTGGGTGCATGTTAAATATATTATGTATATATTTAGTATTAATTGTGTAATCATTGTATACATGGTAGTTTCCTTGTATAGGATTCCTTCCGTAGTTAGGATTCTCATGTATTATATATACGAGGCTTAGCCCTCCATTACATTCAACATAGAAAATAATAATTCTTCAGTATGAGTGTCGATGAATGTGTGTGGTCTAAGGATAAGTTCTTAAGCAAGTTTGTTTGGTCTGGCGTTGAAAAGGTACTATGCTTCTTCTGAATTCCCTGAACTTAAACACATGTGAATCTCTCTTCACATAAAAAAACTGTCTGTGTGTATTGTAAATTTTTCTCCGCCCTTGACTGTGTAGATTTTTTTGCCTGTGAATGGAGATGGGAGGTATTGGCTTCTAGCTGAAATAGATCTCTTACGAAATCAAGTTCGAGTTTATGACTCCTTGAAAGGGCCGAAATCCTCCTTCTACGTTAAAGAAGTAGTAAGAAGAATACCCCCCCTACTTCGCACGGTTAAGGGTGTGGGTGCAAACACTTTGGAGAAGGAATGGGAAACATTTGTTGTCAATGATATTCCGCAACAAGACTCTAGGTTTGTTCGCCATTACTTCGTTATGCTTCTCCCATGGACAGGTGAAAATCATACCCCCCTACTTATTTTAATACTATTTTCCCTTGCAGGTATGGCAATTGTGGAGTGATGGTGCTTGCATATCTAGAGTATTTGTTGGTTGGCTTACCATTAAGTCGAGACTGCAGTTCTGAACACATGCTTGATTTCCGATGTCAATTTGCAGCTAGGTTATGGCGTGGAAGGAAAACTACCAATATTTAGCTTTTTTACTTTACAATTGTAGGGATCTTAAATTTTTGTGGAACTCTTTGTAATGGTTTTTTGTGCTTTGTAATGTATTTTTTGGGGAAACACTTGTTAATGAACAATCTGTTACTGTGTGTTAAGAATGATTTACCTTAGTTTATGACTGAATTACAGATTTACTTTCAGATCCCTCAAAGAGAATAACTGTCTACTTTACCTGTTACACAGAGCTTCAACGTATGTGACAGAGTTACATAATGTTATGCACTTCAGTTTTTTTTGAAAGCTTTGTAGTGGGGCTTTTATCATCATGAATTTCGACTTGTTAATGCACAATCTGATACTGTGTGTGATGAATGATTTACCTTAGTTTTTGACTGATTTACAGATTTACTTTCATATCCCTCCCAGAAATTACACATTACACAGAGCTTTAATGTATGTGTTAACAGAGTTACTTAACGTTATGCTCATACACCATCTTCAGAATCTCATCACATATGTGGGGGTCTTTTGTAGCTAAAAAACAAATAAAGTTAAAACGCATACATAAGATTTCTTGGTGCTCACATGGAATAACTGTCTATGTCATACACTCCACAAAGACTTAATTTATGTGAAGACAGAGTTACATCAGGTTTACATATTGAACTCAGAGAAAGTTATCATACTTGTTACATACTTTACACAAAAAGCAAAAAGCAAAAAGGTATGTGATTTACAGTTCCCATGCTCATTCAAAAAAATCAAAGCTTCGGTACCTAGATCTGATGCAAAAAAATAGCTGTTAAAAGTCAATGCAGTGAAAGGCCAAGATCCAGGCCTCCCAAGGTGAGGTCGTAAACACCATTTTCGTCTTGCACGGGCCAAGCATGCTGCCTTTGTGATGCCAAGATCTCAGACGCATCCATTTTCTTCCTCTTCTTAGGTAGGCTATCATTTTTTCTACCTTCTTTAGGTTTTGGGTTTTTCTATGTAGTCCTTTTTCTTGTTTTCTTTTGAACATACTTTTCCCTGTTGGACTTGAGACGACTCTTTCTTGGAGCTCCCTTGCGTGTGCCGATTAATGGGTTTAACACAAGTGTACTGCTTGTTGTATGTTCGGGAATTTCTTGAACGCCTGTGGATGGATTTTGGCTTGTCATTGCTTCTATAGACATCTCCTTCTGAATCCAATCCATTATCTCCTTTGTGCGGTATTCATCGTCTACGACTTTATTTGCCAAAGCCCGAAAACTGTTGCACAAGTCATCATACCGTTGCTGTTCGACAGTACATATCCAGCCATCATAATCTACTTTGACCCGTGTGTATGCCCGCTTCACATCACGCCTCCATCGCTCTAGGATATACTTCTCAGGCAAAAACCTAACACCATTCCGAATGAAGACAACAATGCAATGTCTACAAATCATCCCTTTAAACACAAAAAGATGGCAAGTGCACTCCACCTCTTGTGTACATTGATCAAAGGCGACTTCATATGACTTCCTCGTGCGAAACCCTTTGATGCACACGTACTCCTCAACTACAAAAGTATCACCAATGTTGCTTATAATATCGCAGTATACTTTTCCAAGAAGTTCAGTCTGAAACTCTTTAAATTTGGAAATAGTGTATACGTCTTGAAGTTGTTTCTCCATTTCATACATAGTGACACATGGGATCATTTTTGTAAAGGAGCCAGCATCTGCTTGAAACTCCATTTCCACTTTTTTCCTTAGCGCACGGTCGTATTGATCAACAAATTGCTTGAGTGTTGTCTTTGAATGCACGTAGCCATCAAAGAAAGCATTCATGCCTTCACTATGCTGCGTTGAGGATATACCTGTGGAAGAAAGTACTGTTTAACACTCAAAATCTGAGATAGTAATTTAAACTTCATAGACAATTACTGTCTGTGAAGAACAATCTCACAGACAGTAATTTTCAAGTTTAAAAAAACAGAACACATAAAATAAGTACCTGCCCAAAAAGAAGTTCGTAGATAACATGGAACCCATCTCTCTCTCCAAAAAAACATCTCAGCCAACCACTCATTGTCATTTAGATCCTCATCCATAATCATTTCTCTCCAGCCTTGCTCAAATTCTATGATAACATGAACATCATACACAAGGTCGTTTATCTTATCCATGATTTCAACTTTATCAGACCTGCCTCCTAACTTTTCAGGCAATTTGTTAAGTATGCCAAAGACACCAACGATGTTTAATGCCTGGAAACACAATACTGATTGCTTTGGCCATGGCTTGATCTTGATCTGTAATGATGCCTTGGGGTGGAACCCCATCCATACACTGAAGCCATGTCTTGAAAAGCCAAACAAATGACTCTGTATCTTCGTGTGTAAGCCGCAACCAAGAAGTACTGATTGCCCATGATGGTTTACACCTACGAAAGGAGCAAACCGCAATTCATACTTGTTAGTCAAGTATGTAGTGTCAAATGTCACAACATCACCAAAGGATTTGTAACACTGACGACACCTGTTGTCCACCCAAAACACATTTCTAAGCCTTGATTCTTCGTCCACATCCATGCTAAAGAAAAACCCGTCATTCTTTGCTTGCATCTTGTTAAAATATCCTTGTATTGCCTCTGCATCTCCGAGGCCAAGTCTTAATCGTCTAAACTCTTCAATGTAATTTCGACAATCCTTCTCTATAAAGCCAAGTTCTTCATATCCACCCGCTTCCACAACAGC